AGGCTCCTGTATGTGGCTAGGCTCCCAAACAGTGTCACACGTGTGGTATCCTCATACTCGGCAGAAGTAGCAGAATGTATTTTGGCATTCCAGGGCCTCCGAAACTGTGATAGGTAGTCAGGAAGTGTAATGAGGAAATAAAGCCTTTTAAAAGCCTGAAGGTGCTTATTGGATTTTGGGGTCCTGTACTTGGCTAGACTGCCAAAACGTCTCTCATGTGGTACCCTATACTCAGGAGAAGTATCAGAATGTATTTTGGGGAGTAATTCCACATATACCCATGGCATGTGTGAGCAATATATCATTTAAGTGACATTTTTTTTTTGTTTTGTTTTTTTTTACACAAAACACATTTTGTCATTTTCCAAAAACTTGTGGTAAAAAAATTAATTCTTCTATTGATTCAATATGCCTCTCAGCAAATAGTTTTGGGGTGTCCACTTTCAAAAAAGGGGTCGTTTTGGGGGGCGGAATCGTTTTATGCGCAGAATTAGAAGTTTATGCCACACATTACTCACTCTTCTAACCACCTGAAGATCAAGCCTTTTCTGACACTTTTTGTTCATATGAAAATTTTTGGCTAGGAAATTAATTTAAACCCCCAAACATTATATATTTTTGTAAAGCAGACACCCTAGTGAATAAAATGGCGGGTACTACAATTTTTTATGGCACATAGTACTCGCGCAGCGATTTTTCAAAAGCAAATTAAAAAAAAAAAAAAAAAAAAAATACACTTTTTTTACTTTTAATGCACAAAAACACAATATATTGGCCAATTATTTGGTAGGATATAAAAGATGATGGTATGCCGAGTAAATAGATACCAAACATGACATGCTTTAAAAACTGTACTTGCCCCGTGCAATGGCGACAAACTGCATACATTTTTAATATCCATAGGCAACGCTTTAAAAGCTACCATTTTAGATTTACAGAGGAGGTCTAGTGTTAGAATTACTGCCCTTGATCTGATGTTCACGGTAATACCTCACATGTATGGTTCAACCGCTGTTTTAGATACTGACACAGGGTCCACGCTTGTGCACACAGGTGTGCATGCATGGGAGGGGTGAGATTTTTTAAGTTATTTTGATTTTTTTAATTCTTTTTACACATTACCATTCTTTTTTTTTTATCACTTTTAATGCTATCACAGGGAATGCATATATCCCCTATAACATCAATGGGCATTGTCATATATTCTTTTTTCAGAAATCTGGGGTCTATCAGGCTCTAGATATCTCCTCTGCCCTTACATTATCTAATCAAACCAAAATCGGTGTGATCAGATGCTTTCCCATTTACAAATGGCGCTGTTTATATCCTGTGAAACTGAAGTGATGAAATGCTCGTAGCTTCCGAATTTTTAGACTATAGAGATGATTGGCACCACTCTGGTCTCCAATCAGCTCTATGGTCAGCTGGCAGAAACACCAGCTGCATTCTCAGGTTCCCACGATGGCACGGGACTGCCAGTGAAGGCCGTGGAAGGCAGCGGGGGAGGGGCATCATATCCCGCTGCTTGTAAAAGCAATTCTGCAGCTAATTAGCCACTAAGATTGCTTTTACGTGAAAGCTGATCGCCGGCTGAAAAAAACAATACCAGGATGATGCCTGCAGCTGTAGGCATCATCCTGGTATAAGCAAAGTCCAGTGATGTACCAATACATCGCTAATCCTTGTTGGTTATATATGCTATGTTCTTTTTCTTTTGTATGCAGCCTGTGGACTGAATGAAAAAAAAGAGAAGAAATCTCTGGCAGAAAAAGTGTGTGGCATGCCCACCATTAAAATATTCCTCCCTGCATCCACCCACTTCTAATAGTGGGCACACATTAGGTCACACTTTGTCACATGCGCCAGTTCCAAGATTGTACAAATGTCTAAATAGCGGCACGCTTGAATAACAATTGTCCACGTATAAGTGGTACCGCATATGGAAAAAGGATGACACCAAGTCCCAAACTATCTTGCCACTGCTCCCCATGTATTCTGGGCATCCGGGGGCTCCACGTAACTATCTTTTCCTCGTAAATCCTAAACTTATAAGTATAGCCTGTTGTCCTCTCACAGGTCTTCTACATCTTGAGCCCATGTCTGGCACGCTTGCTGGGGAGAAATTGTTTGAATGCAAGGCAGCCAGAAAAATTAATGAGGGACTCATCAATGCAGATGTTTTGCTGGGCAGTATAGACATCTGCAAATTTTTGCTTAAGGTGACTTGCGAGGGGCTGAATTTTGTGGAGCCAATCAAATTCAGGGTTACCCCGAGGACAACAGAGTGTATTTTTGTTGAAATGCATAAAAACACATTATACTCTCATATCTATGCCTGGCCATGGCAGAAGAGAACACGGGCATATGATGAATCGGGTCTGTGGACCAATACAACCGTAATTCATTTCTTTTAGTAATGCCCACGTTGAGGGCTAGGCCCAAAAAAATGTAAATTCGGAAACCGTAATGAGTTTCCATGCGACTGGTGCGGCAAAGTTTGAATTTGGGTTGGCGGCGATAAATTGTTGTGCATATAAATTGCTTTGATCCACAATAAACGCATACAGATATTCCGTGAAAAACAGCTCCAAAAATCAAGGGGAATAGTTAAATTTGCTATTCGCACCTGAATTCCGGGTTGGGCAGTGAATGGGGGAAGTACGGGTGCTGCAGAATTTGTGGGCTGTCAATCGGAATTTGCAAGCACATCCGGAAGGATACTAGGAGCTCTATGGGCCTGTGTGCAAATTCTTGGTGGCTGCAGGACAATACTTGTGTTTGCTACCGCACCGTACATATCCAGCAAAAAAAATTTAAAAATCAAATTTCGTCATAAATTTTGTCCAAAATGTATTCTGCGACATGTCTTTGCTAAAAAAAAAATTCCAATACTTGTAAATTAATTGGTTTACGTTTAAGTTATAGCGTCTACCAATGGCGGGAAAGATACTGGGATTTTTTTTTTTTTATACTAATGGCGGTGATCAGCGACTTATGACAGTGATCAGCGACTTATGACAGTGATCAGCGACTTATGACAGTGATCAGCGACTTATGACAGTGATCAGCGACTTATGACAGTGATCAGCGACTTATGACAGTGATCAGCGACTTATGGCGGGACTGCGGTGGACATTTTGACACTGGGGGGAACTGACCTGGGGTGACTGACATCCCCAGTGATCAGTGCAAAAAAAAAAAAAAACTGACACATTAATGGCACTGGGGAGGAAGGGGTTAACTTTTTTAGGCAATGAAAGGGTTAACTGTGTGAGGGGAGTGTGTTACTAGGGGGCGGGGGGTGTGCGCTTCACAGGAACATGCTGATCCCGAGAGACAAACTCCTCTCAGGATCGGTATGTTAGGAGCTGACAGGGAGCAGAGCTGCATCGTAAACAATGCAGCTGTGCACTGTGGGGCACTGGTTGCTGGCAATCGTCGGGACCCGGCAGGTAATGACCGGCCGGGACCCGGTGATTGACACGCGATCGGCGGGATGGGTAGGGCGAGCGCGTGCTCCCTACCCGTTTTGCAAAATGACTTTTTAAAACGTGATTTTGCCCAGCGGTGCCACCTTGTAGCCATTTTTCTACAGTGGCTGGACGGCAAGCAGTTAAAGGTCAGTACAGAGGACTCTCTTTACATCTGGTGAAAGAGAGATCTACTTCACATACAAAAAGGCTTCCTAACAGTAAGAGGGGATTAGATTCCCTCAAGAACTAGTTTTTGGCCAGTTCAGTAGGTTGTTTTAAAAACAGTATCCAGTTCATTTAGGAATGCATCCAGCTCTATTTTTTAGAGGTAACAATGCCTGAGTAGTTAAACCAGAGAATATCCAATTGCCTCCTGTGGGATCAGGAACAAATTTTCTTGTTCCATTGGAGCGAATTGGACCATGCTTTATTGGGGTTTTTTGGCCTTCCTCTGGATATAGGATGAGTATATGATAGTGTATATTCTATTTGTGTGGGGTTTTTTTTTTTTTTTTCAAACTGATTAACTATGTAACCATGAAAACTTTATTTCAAATCACTAGAACTGGTCCCCCAATGTCTGCGGGGAGTATCGATCTCTGTAGTCCCAAATTCTCACTTTTTTTTTCTTCCTTCTGACCTCACATCACCACTCGCTCCTGGAGTGACATCAGGGAGGACCAGTTCCACTGATCAGATATAAGTTTAGCAGCATAGGCACAGCTAAAAGGGGAGAATTTACTGTTTTCCTTTACAGGTAAGAGGGCTTTAAGGCTACTTTCACAATGATTGGTAGCAAAAACGCATACATATTTTTGCCTCGTTTTTACCATGCTTGCGGTGCGTTTTTTTTTTCACAAGACATGTGACTCAAAAACTCAATACTGGTGCGTTTTTGCCATGTTTTCCATTCATTTTAATGTGGACGTGTGTTTTTTGGTTTCTGCAACTTGGGCTTTGAAGCAAACCTGTTGCTATGTCCTGCATAGACAAAGCACAGGTTTGCTGTTACTTATTGCTTTATACATCTATTCCTGATCAAAGTTGTACCCCTTTTCCTGGTCAGGTTAACTCAAAGGACCATTCAAAGCTATGTTAGATCTCTATAGTTAACTTTTGTTATTTTTTTTAACTTTTAAATATAGTTGCACATACTGTATAAAGCAATCTATGACCAAACCTCTGCAAAAATGTATAGGGCAGCAGAAATGTAGAACACCACACTTGGTAACTGTGACTATGCAGACAACTAGACAAGAGCATCATCATTAAGATGATTAATTTTTGAAACCAAAGAAAAAAAAACAAAAATGCAATGTATGGTATTTTACATGCAAAAAACTGTAGCAATGTTGGGGTGTTAAGAAGCGCTATAAATATGCACCACCAATTTTTTTCCTATGCATTCATAATGCATATAAATCACATTACAATGGAGTGAACAAAACTCCCTGATTTTAATATATAATGAAGACTAACAAATTCTTGTTTTCAGAAAAACACAACAAAAAACTGGGTTATGACAACCTTGTGCTAGTAGTTCTTCTCCAAGTTGAATTTCTTCAAGGAAAAACTTCTGAACAGCCTCTGCATCTTTAAGGTCAGGTAACTGTAAGAAGATTCAAAATTTTACTTCATTAACCATTTGAATACCGGGCAATTTTACACCTTCCTGCCCAGGCCATTTTTCAGGTTTCAGCGCTCTCACACTTTGAATGACAATTGCGCGGTCATACAAAATTGTACCCAAACTAAAATTTTATCATTTTCTTCACACAACTAGAGCTTTCTTTTGGTGGTATTTAATCACCACTGGGGTTTTTATTTTTTGCTAAATTATCAAAAAAAGACCGAAAATATTGAAAAAAATACACGTTTTTCTTTGTTTCTGTTATAAAAGTTTGCAAATAAATAATTGTTCTTCATAAATTTAGGCCATGATGTATTCTGCTACAGGTCTTTGGTGAAAAATAACCCAAATTAGGATGTATTTTTTAGTTTGTAGGAAAGTTATAGAGTTCACAAACTATGGTATAGATCTGAATATTGATCAATCCCGAAGTACTGACGGCCAATCTAATTTCTTGAGGTCCAAGAATGTCAGAACAGTACAGATACCCCACAAATGACCACTTTTTGCAGAGTAGACAGTCCGACATACTTCATAAGAAGTTGCATTTTTTTTGTCATAATTTTTCGGAAAATGAAAAAAAAATGCAAAAAATTATTTTTAATTTTTTTTTTTTAACATACTGTCACTAGTGCAGTACAGCATCTTCATATAACTGGCATGGCGGTGATCAGGGACACTGACTGGTGTCAGTATGAAAAAAAAAAATATATATATATTTTATTTTATTTTTAATACATTTTTTTTCTTTTTTTTAAAGATTTTTTTTTTCATATTTCACTATGTCCAAAGTAGTACAATGTTACCATAGTACTACTTAGGAAAAGTGATCAGTATTTTTTTTTTTTTTTTTTTTTTTTTTTTTTTTTTTACACAATTTGCTTATAGCAAAGAATTACTTTGCTATAAGCAAGCATTTACCTGAATGACATCGATTCATTCAGGGTTTTTTTTTTTTGTGCTTAGCTGTGATTTGGCCACAGCTAATCACATGACATGTGCATGTGGTTAACTGTGACCAATCACAGCTAGACAGTAGTATACAATGGATGGCATGAATGAAGCCATCCATTGTATACAACTGTCATGTGACCTGCTGTGATTGGTCACAGCCGGTCACATGGTACCAGCAACGGAGCTGATACTCAGATCTGTCATCGGCCATGTCCGAGGTACACGGCCGGTGACAGATTGCGCCGCTGCGTGGCTCTGCAGGAGCACAAACTGTGCATGTGCGGGAGGACTCCATTTGGCGTCCAACCCGGAAATGCAGTACATTTTGCCAGCCGCCTTTTGGCTATTGGCCGGGCGTGTACTGGTTAAAGCGATATTAAAAGGCAACTCATAAAAAAAAAAAAAAAAAAAAAAAAAAAAGCAAAAATGCAGAAACATGTCATACTTACCTTCTCTGTGCTGCTCTGCTTACCTGTTCCCAAGCCGCTTACCTGTCCATTCACACAGAGCCATATTTCAGCCCCGCCCCCTCTGCTCATTTTATTGTATTGTGTATTGTATTACAGTGTCTCCACTCAGGGTGAAAGGGGCATAAAAGCACCTTTGGACAGCTGCACAGTTAACCTGGGTGGAGGGGAGTATTAGACATACAAGCAGATTTTGATACACTAAAAACCGAAGCTAAACTCAAGCTACTTTATAAGCAGTTACATTTTCTTTCCTTTTTGGATAAAAGTTTTATATAAAAGCTGATCATTGTATGCACTCCTGTCAGTAGTAAATGGTTTGTAAAAATCCAATAATTGCTACATCTGCAGGAGAGCTTGCTCCGTTGAAAAAACAACAGACGCGCGGCCCAGATCACCAGGTGAAAATAAAAGGAATAAAACCTATAAAAAGAAAACTAATACAGCCATTACATCTAAGAATTTATGAGCCGCAATATAATAAAGGTTTCCTTTTGGGTTTAAAGGACAAGTTCACCTTTGGGAGCATGTTACATGTTCCACCCGTTTTTCCTGTTTTTAGGGTGGAACATGTAACATGTTCCTATAACTGCAGCTGCACTCACTGTCTGTAGACAAAACAGGAAGCGAGAGGAAATCCCTCCAAAGTATGGGAATCTCGTCAACAGAACTAGCATCCATGCTGGAAAATTTCCTCTGTATTTGTCTTCAGTAATGCTTTAAAGTACTGTATATGTACAAAAAATATATTTTTTCAATAAATATCATGCCCCTAATTATTATCAATTGTTACCAATATAATAACGCAATCAAAATATATGATTTAAAACAAAAATATGAAAAAATAAAATAAAAATATATAGGTAAATACAATACAAAAAAACAAAAAAAGTCACTAATAACCACTTATTGCTGATAGTCCCAAAATATGATGTGATCCAAAAACAATTGTGAAAGTCAATGAATCATATTCCCCTGATGAAGCCGCGTGACCTGCGGAGTAACGCGTAGGGGTGGGCTACGACGTCACTACACACCCGTGTATACTATGTGTGCGAAGCACACAGCAATCTGCAGTTGTTTTTAAACATAGCGGTTTCTTATCTTACTGAACGTGAGTGTAATTGGGCACGCAATAAAAGCCTTTTAACCTTAAAAAAGATAAGACACTATGTCTGCATTTTTTCTCACCGAGGGATACCTAAGGAGGAGATAAATAGCAGGAGTGAAAGATCCCTGTGGGGATAGTGGCAAGAAGGATAAGAGCATTGGGAAGCAATTAAGGGATACCCACCACTCTTCACACGGTGCAACAGAATATCTAAAGTTCCATATGTGAACAAAAAGCGGAGTAAGCCTGTCCACAGGCTGAAAAGGAGGTGAGCGCATAACCTAATCACAATAAGGAGTCATTGGGAAACACAATCACTTATATTTTGATCACGTTTATTGGGATTTATCACTTTTGTATCAATAGAATCAATTTCATTGACTTTCACAATTGTTTTTGGATCACATGATATTTTGGGACCATCAGCAATAAGTGGTTATTAGTGACTATGTTTTTTGTTCTGTATTTACCTATATAATTTATTTTTTCATATTTTTGTTTTTAATCATATATTTTGATTGCGTTATCATATTGGTAACAATTGATAATAACTAGGGGCGCGACATTTATTGAAAAATATTTTTTTTTGTTATGCACACAATATGAGGATGTGTTTCGTGTCAGCGAACCTTATCCGATTACATTAAGTGGCTCACAAGTAATATTTAAATCTAACTGTATATGTACAGCCATGTTTTGAATATAGTAGGGAAGGTTGAGAAACACTTAAGAATTTATTGCTGTAAATTCCCCCTCTAGATAGATTCTCTCTTGGTGGGCATCGGCAGAAAGGAACCTAAGGTGAAGGGAAATATTTCAATGAGACACCCATCCCAGTGTGAATACTTACCTTTGACTGACCAGCTCTCGCTTTAGCAATTTTCTGTTTTCTCCTCCCTGCAGAAAAAAAAAAAAAAAAAAAAAAAGGAAAAAGTGAAATACAGTTAAGATGAAGACAAAATTAAAATAATGTACACCTTAAACCACTTGACCCACGCAGAAGGTTTTAGCTTCCCCTTCATGACCAGGGCATCTTTTGCTATTCAATACTAGTTTTGTCTGTATTTGGACATCTTCAGGAAGCTTCCAATTATAGACAAAAGTAGATGAGGCAGTGTTCCTCAGCCGATACATCACATCCTATCCCTGAGCACAAGCCAGCTTCTGGCCCCTGCGGGGTGGCAGCCATTTTAACCACAAGTACTCTATGTACCTGGTGTACATGTAAGTGTGGTGCAATTGTAAGGTTTTGTATGGTTTAATAATGTCGGCTGCTTTGCGCAATTAACATTTTCCTCGATACTGTTTGAGTGATGGTGTGTTGCATTGGAAGAAATTGCATCCTGGTACATATGAATGGTCAAGTTGGTGACGAGATACACAGTGGGTCTAACCAAAAAAGTGCAGCGAGACCCATCTAGTAATAGAAGATCCATCCATTGTGGTGGGTGTAAATCCATGTGGGGTCAGCTGGAAGTGATCACCTGTTTAATCGGTTACTAATGGCACAGGCACCTGTTCACCTATCTTTTGGTTTTTAAGCAACAATTGTTTGAATGGGACTTACTGACACATTGGCCATTAGTTGTATTTTCTGGTGTTTACATATTTTTTGCACCTTTACATGTGGCAAACCGTTTAGTAACTATGATTAACATTTTTGGCAGTACGGTCTATATACACATTTAAAGAGTACACAAATGTGGAAGTTAGACACATCTTGAAGACTGCAGAAGCCATAATCACATTCATTTGTGTTTCCTTATTTTTGGTTTTGCCTGTGGCTCAGAGTTTTCATTGTTATTTGCTGTTAAAAGTAAACATGTACTCTCACAACATTTTTGTCTGAATGAGGACAATTAAAGACGTCTGCTACTACTGCTATTAGTCTACTCCTTTCCACCACTTAGATCTACTTTGTTACTGGAGGCCAGTTTAATTTGGTTTCATGGTTAAGCCCTGTCGAACTGCAATTTCAAGGCCCGATTATGGCAATTTTTATCAATATTCAATACTGTTGATCTCGATTTTTAAAACATGACTTTTTTTATGTGCTTAAACTGATAACACACAAACAATTCTCATTTTTTGGAACCAATATAAATAAAAAAATGGTAGGGTGCTTGCTTAAGCCATTATGTTATCCATAATGACAAACAATCAAGTGGTGTATAAATCAACTTAAAAATCCAATAATGTGCAGTTTCCCCATGCCACACTGTGACATGTGAATCATTTAGGTGAATACTTAATATCAAAGCAAACTCCCAGCTTCTTTACCACTTGTGCGAGTAGAAGGAATGCACGCTCACCAGAGGATTTTAACCACTTTTTACAGGTAGGTCAAACAACGCTACGTCTCCCAAGAATTCTCTCTCTTTAACCACTTTCCCTCCGCCCTATAGCAAAAGTATTGCTACAGGGTGGACAGGCTGCGCAAAATCACATGTATATATACATGATTTGCATTTAAGGTAGGAGCCGCTACTGGTGGCTAGGAATGTCAATCACCGGGTCCCAGCCGGCAATTCCCGGCCAGCACTTGGTGATCGTCGGGTAAACCTGACAGGGGAGACTAAACAGGTTTCTCTCCTGTCAGCATGGACATGCTGTTTTACCGCAGTCCCGCTATAAGTCGCTGATCGACGCCATTACTAGTATATTAAAAAAAAAAAAAAAAGAAGAATTCCAGTACATATACCGCCATTTGTAGATGCTAGAACTTTCACATAAACCAATTAAATTTAGACGTACTGGGATTCTTTTTATTTATCTAGCAAAGGCATTTAGCAGAATACATTTTGGCCTAAATTTATGAAGAAATTTGATATTTCAAATTTTTTTATTGGATAGGCTTTATAGCAAAAAGTCAAAAATATTTTTTGTTCAAAAATGGTCGGTCTTTTTGTTTATAGCTCAAAAAAAAAAAAAAATGCAGAGGTGATCAAATACCACCAAAAGAAAGCTCTATTAGTAGGAAAAAAATATATAAATATAATTTAACGCAGCACCGTTTCACAAAACAAATGGCCTGGTCAGGAAGGGGGGGGGGGGGGGGGTAGTAGATCCTCTGGAGGGCAAGTGTTTAAGGTGATCACCAGATCTTCCTTCATAACGTTGGCTCACTCAGACTCCGCGATAAAGTAGGAGATATCCATTTAAAAGAATCTTAGTAAGTGCGCATGCGCGGTCACCGGGATCAGTTGTCCCAGCGATAGCTCCGCACACCTCCGGCGCCGATAACAGCCCATATAAGGGCATAGTGCACACTAGCTCCCGGGCACCCCCCCCAGACCTGGAACGAACCTCGGGCACCCGCAATATGCCGGGAAAACCAGCGGTGCAGAACCGTGTAGGCTCCCAGATGTTGCTCCCTGCGGGGACTGGGAGTCCAAGATGGCGCTCGGATCGGCGCCCGCGGCTCCTAGTGCCTCCTCTGCCTCTCTCACGGCAGCACCTCTCCCCCAGAGGGAGAAAACGAGCACCTCATCCCACACTGGACTGAGGACTGCAACAGCGTCACCAGCTGGGGTGAGGGACTCCCTGTGGCCCCCCCCGGTCACCTTCCAGCCCTGTACCACCAGAGTCCCAGGCTTCGGCCTGATCCTTGGGCCGCGACTCCCATGCCTCCTCGCCATTGAGCGAGATCGCTGCCATTTTTTCCAGCCAGCATAGCGGTCCAGAACCCGCAGATGACAGCCCGGCCTCCTCGCCAACAATTCCTCCTGACCTACTACTATATTCAAGTGACGCGACCTTGATTGCTCGGTTCGCGGATCTTCTGCAACGCGAACTGGATAGAGCTACCTCAAAATTGGCGGCTGACCTTAAGCAGGATTTTCAGGCCTTGGGCCAATGGCTGGACAGTATCGAGGCTAAAGTTGATGCGACAGCTCATAGTGTCTCCCAAAATTCCAACATGATCACCGACTTGCAAGATCGCCTGGAGGAAGCATACTCTAAAATTGATGATTTGGAGAATCGGGCCAGGCCAGACTCCCCGAGTCTGTTAAGGAGCTCACTAGCTGCGCACACACCCTCATGCGGTCTGCTTTGCCCGACATTGATGACCTTCATCTTGAGATAGATCGTATTCACAGGGCATTGATTCCCCCCCCCCCCCCCCGGCAAGGGGGGCCCCCTAGAGATATCATCGTCAAGCCTCATTTTTTTCAGGTCAAGGAAGCGATTATGCGATATGGCAGGGAGAATCTGGACCTGGAGCTTACGGCGCACAAGATACAAATCTTTGCTGATGTCTCTCTGGCCACTATCCAGAATCGGCAATCCCTCAAGCCACTACTCTATCTCTAGTTCAGAAGGGCATTAGAGATCATTGGGCCTACCCTTTTCGCCTGCAGTTCACTCTTAATGGAAAATCCTATGGGTTTGCTACGTTCCAGGATGGCGAGGAGTTGCTGCTTCAGCTGGGTGTTATCTCTCGCAGTCCGGCATCCCATTCCCCTACGGGATCGGCTTCTCTACCTCCGCTGCTCCAGCCATTGTGGGCTACACCAAACTCTAAGAAGAAGAAGAAGAGGGTCACGGAATCCACCTGGGAAGATCTCGAACTCCCGTGTCCTTTTGGGGACTTTTCACTGTGCTGCTTTGATTGGTGGTGGCCTCCCTGCGGCTCCTGCGAGCATTGCTGCTGCTGCTCTGCTGGTGTGGGGGCATTGTCTGGGGGGGGGGGGGGGGGGTGACCTGGGGATTACTTTACATCTGTTTGCTGAATGCCATTTTAGGTGATTCAATTGTTTTGTTCAATTGTTTTATTTTTCTGCACTAAACTTTCAATTTATTGCTGATGGGTTTCTGCTACTGTCGGTGCCGGAGAGTGTCTTTGCGCTCTCACTGACTGGAAGACTCTTCCCCGAGATCGCTTCTCTGGGCAGATCCATTCCACTACAGGGCTATTGCTCTGTATTTCCTGGTGCATAGTCTGAACTATTTATATAGTAATGCTTTGTGTAACACGGTTACTTGACATGCGGACTTTTGTGTTCCGAATGTCTTATCCTCTCTTTCTCCAATTTTTCTTTGTCTTTTTTTGTTTTCCTCCAGGGTCAGCTGGCAACATTTAGGGACTCTTAGGAACATTTTTCTCTCTTCAGGAACGTAGGGTCTCCATCCTGCTTAGCTCCTTAATTATTTATAATGTCTTCCCTACGGTCAACTAGAAGGGGTATTCGTCTAATTTCTCACAATGTTAAGGGGCTTAATTCCCCCTCTAAACGCATACAGGCTTTTAGTTCGTGCCACTATCTTGGGGCAGATATAGTTGCCTTACAGGAGACGCATTTTCCCCCCTCCTCTCCACGCTATATCCATAAAAAATTACCATGTCTGCTTTTTTGCTAATGCTACAGAGAAAAAAAAAAAACGGGGGTGGCCCTTTGCTTTTCTCGCCAACTGTCCTTTACCGAATCCAAAATTATCCGGGACAGGGAGGGGCGATATCTCCTGGTGAAAGGCCACTTGGGAGGACACCTAATCACTTTTCTAAATTATTATACTCCAAATACCAATCAGGTGGAATTTTTTTAATCCCTGCTCAGCACCCAGGTCGGGGAATTCGAGGGTGATGTTATTGTGGCTGGTGACTCCAATCTAGCACTAGACCAGACTCTGAATCGTTCCCAAACCGTCACGCTGCAGCCTCCTTCTAGACGGAGCCGTAAGTTGGCCCAACTATTATATCATTGTGACTTTATTGATGCATGGAGAAAGGCTAATCCCACTTCTCGAGACTACTCCCACTACTCCAGGGCTCATAACAGTTATTCCCGTACTGATCATATATATTTCTTCAGACACATTCACTCCCCAGACTTCTTACTGCTAAAATTTTCTCCACGCCCTGGTCTGACCATGACCCAGTTTCTATAACCTTGTCG